TCTAACATTGCTCAAATCGACCAAAGAAGGGCAAAGATATGGCAAATAACAGTTTCGGGTCCCTTCCCGGGCCCATGGGGGAGGGGGGGGGTTCCCGGGGTCAAATTTTTGGGCTCCTCAAAAAAATTCTTAGTTGAGGAACATATGAACCCAGATTTGATACCCAAAAATGTCTTTCATAATTTGCAGGTAAATGTGCATAAGCCTCCTGACTAAAAACAAGTATTGTTAGAATACAAAAAAAGTTTTGCCTGCCCTACCATGTCCAATTTTTTTCAGCTCGTTAACGGAAACAAACATCTTTTTCTTAGGCCTTATATATTCTATATATTGACAAATAATTCCACGTGAATGCCATTCAAATGTTCCTCTGCAAGACACAATTTCACCGCATGCAAGCCACAGTGCACCATCTCCATGTTTCTGTGAGTTTGTACAGTGGCGTCCGTGCAGTGAAATTGTGTATTGCAGAAAAAGGTATGAACTCCATTTATGGGACACTGTTAGTGACTGTTACTAATAATATGCGAAAGAGAGTAGATAAACACTATGAGTCATAGTAAATACATTTTTTTTATTTGCCATCAATTTTTATTATTGAAACGTTCAGTGGCATAGTTAGGGGGGGGGGCAAAGTGGCAAAGGGGGCCATCCCCCACCCCTGTTGATCCAAAAGTTTAAGAAAAATTAAAAAAATAAAGAATTTCTACTAAAACGAAAATTGTCGTAGTCAGAATGAAGGCTGTACATGTACTCAAAAGTGCCTCAAATACCATCTCCTGCGATCTACATTTTCACAATTTCTGGGGGAGGACCCCCATACCCCCCGCCTGTGTTTCACCACCCCTCCTCGTAATCCTGGATCCGCCACTGAACAATTACATATCTAGGGAGCAGGGAACAATGAACACAAATGTCACCTTTTTACATGGCGCCCAAAACAAAGATTGCAGAGCTGAAAGGCGGGGGAGCATAGGGTGTGGAGAGGGAAGCAGAGGAACCATTAAAAATATTAAGTCGTCCATTATTTTGCGCACTTCGCTGTTTTTTACCCCCCCCCCCTGTTAAAAAATGCTCGCTACGCCACTGGAAACCTTCTAACTTCTAAGTGCCTGTGTCTGTGAGACAGTCAGTGTCTTTCTTGACCCCTACACTTAGGCACAAAGGGTCGTTGTCGTATAATGGCGTATAATATATATGTACCCGAGGTAACTATTTGATATGGTTAGGGTTAGGGTTAGGGTGTTAGGGTTAGGGTTAGGGAGTAGGTGACATACTCGCCGACACATCGGGTACTACATATACGACAACGACCCCTTCAGCTACACTTAGTAACGCTCATAGGGTCTATGTCCCCCAGGGTACTGCCGGAACGTACCCTGGGTACGGTCCGGTATACCGGAACGTACCCTGGTAACTATCTGGAGATCTCGTGTGCTGCCTGCTAGATCACCGGTGCAAGAACATCCAAAGGGTCATAAGATGGACATGACAGTAGAAAGGATTCCATGTCTAGTAAAAGGCTTATCTTGCAGTGTGATCCTGAAGCTAAATGAATCTGATTCAATACACCATTGCACTCCAAGTGCTCTTTCCAGCGGCAAGGCATCGTGGAGTAGATTGATTTCTCTGATGCCCTTTGCTCTATGTCTTCATCAACTGATTCTAGAACCTCTCTAGAATTTGAGACAAATTTATGAAGATGTAGGCCTCCCTTGTTGCACAACTTCCTGGTCCTGGAAATCAGATCTACAGCTTGTTCGACAGATGGTAAGGACTTCAATCCATCGTCTACGTAGAAGTCCCGTTGAATGAAGTCTTTCACGTCCTCTCCATTTCTTGAGCATGATCAAAGGCAACTTGTTTGAATCCATAGTTTGCACATCCTGGAGATGAAGCCGCTCCAAACAAGTGTACTCTCATCCGATAGTCATTGGGCTCTTCATGAAGTTTCCATCCTCCACCATAGAAATCGTAAGTAATTATCTGTCCTCTTTGTTGACTCTGAATTGGTGGAATTGGTGAAATCGCTCAGATGAATGCAACATCTCCATCTGAACGGCGCAGAGAACTCCAACTAGCTTGTTGGTGAGATCAGGTCCCGTCAAGAGATGAGAGTTCAATGATTCTCGCTTGCATTTTGCACTACAGTCAAATACCACTCTCAGCTTCTTAGGCTGCTGCACGCCATGATGAGGGATGTACCATGCAGGGGTATCAATTACTTCGTGATTTGGAATAGGTTCTGCATATCCTTTCTCGATTAGAGTATTCATCACAGCAGCATACTTCCCGTGGTAGTCTGGATTCTGTTGAAATTTCCTTTTCAGATGCTCCAGTCTCGTTTTTGCCACCAATTTGTTATTGGGCAAGTCTGGTTTCTCTTTCTTGAAGGGCAATGGCATCTCATAACTCCCATCATCTGTGGTATGGATCTTTTCACTCATGATGTCCATGAATTTCGTATCATTTTGTGAAAATAGAGCCCTTTCACATCTTACATCAGAGAAATCCACCTCCATCAGCTTGGCCACTCTTAATTGTGTGATTTCCTCCTTCAAGGAGATTGCTTGGGTAAATGCAACTCTGGACTTTGACTGTGCATTTACTCCCTTCAAGTCAGCTGGAATCTCGATACGAGGGATAGGATACGATCACTATGACCGATGGGATCGTATTCGCTCTTCTCATAGTCTCCCTGCACTGGTCCAACAGTACTCCACCCCAGGTCTGTTAGTATGCCATAAGGTCCTTCATCCTGAAGGATGGAATACATCTCCGGTGCCAACCTCTTGCACAATCATACCCGATGAGTAGGTCAATGTACAATCTTGAA